GGGAAAAGTTAAAAAGGCTTACGTTCAGGTGTTCCAGAACTCATTCCCAGAGCTCAGGTTACAGGAAAAAAATATTTAGTGTCTGCTACTTGCTTTCACAGATGGGAGAGGCAGCGGGTAAATGGGCCAAGAGCATGCAGGAAGTGCTCTAGAGGCCTAGTGTGGCCCCCTCACTGCAGCTGAGAGAGAGGAGATTTGCTGAGTTTCTCAGCCTAGTCTGAGTTGCAAAGGATGTGCAGAAGATGGAAACAGTACCAAGAGTGAGAGCCATTCCTGAAAACGAGGGGACGGCTCTTCAGTTAATCTGTGTTTGTGCTTCTGTGCGAGGCTTTCCTGATTTCTGCGAGTGCGTTTTCACATATGTGTGCAGAACTGGGGATTGAGCTTAGGACACTGCGCGTGGTAGGCAGGCACTCTTCGCCCGCCTGTGCCCCCAGCTCTGAACAATGGAAAGTGAAGAGAAGAGGACACTGAGGACGTTAGACGAGGGCTGGTGGGCGTCTTTCTCCTGAAGGACAGTGAAACGTGAGAACCATAGAAGCGTTGTGAGGAGAGGAACGGCACAGTGATCGTTGTGCTCCGTGCGGAGGGCTTGGCTAAACACGCGAGAACAAGGCGAGTGACCCTACCCGGGACTGGTGCAGAGAAGACGGTCAATGAAACGGTCATCGCCAGCGGGGAAACAGTAGGACTCAAGATAGGTGATCATACGGAAAGGTACAGCCCCAAGGACGGGTGTCCTGTTGTGCACCCAAAACGTGCCGATAAAATTATATATCCGTGAGAAAGATTGCAGATGCGGTACTCCTGGGGTATGCACGTTGAATGGTCCAAGTTGAAATGATTGAACACATCCTGGCATTTGATCCCCAAGGAAATGACTATTTTAGAAGGAAAAGAACCACAAATAAACTGGGGAGCAGCAACATTTAAAAGTTGGGCAGAGGAAAAGAAATAAGGACTGGAAAGTGTTCAGTTAATGAAAGTTCATGGTATAACTGCGAAGGAGGATTTTTCTGGCGTCATCAACTTGAAAGTGAAATACTGTAGTTGTGTTTCGATGTGAATGCCAAGTGGAGTTTAATACTCCATGAAAGAGTATTGTGCATTTTAGAAAGATTTGCTATGAAGGGAAACAAGAAGATAAGAAAGGCTACTGGTTGTGATTTTGTTGTTGAGAGAGATTGGAAAGGACATGAACGAGGGACAGTGGTACCTTGCTGCTTGTGGCTTCCTGGAGGCACAACGAGTTCCAGACCAATAATTTTGACTGGAAAGAGTAGGGAGTCCTGAATCAGGGGATACTAACAAGTACAAACAATCCGATGGATTTGAGAGCAGTGGAGTACCAAGGTCTGAGTGTAAAGAGGAGGAGTCCAGGGAACAGCAGAGAGATCAGTATTTGAAAGGAAGGGTCATTCAGTGGCTAACAGTAATAAGACTTTTTCTCCTCCTTTTTGCCATTAAATCTTAGATCCCATAAGACCATTTTTCTCTTTCATTCCATAGTCTGCTTTCATTCACACACACACACACACACACACACACACACACACACTCACACACTCACACACACTCACACACTCACACACTCACACACACACTCTCCCTCTCTCTCTCTCTCTCTCTCTCTCTCTCTCTCTCATTACTATATATAGCCACAGCCCAGGTCGCGTCTCTGTTCTCTAGAACCCTAGTCAGATATTTTACTTTACTTTTCATTGTTGTTTGCTGTCTGCTGTACTGGGGTCTGAAACCAGGGCCTTCACACTGAGTTACATTGCAGCCCCTTTTATCTTTCATTTTGAGACAGTCTCACTAAATTGTTGCCCAGGCTGGGCTGAAGCTTGCAGTCGTCTCAGGTCTGTTTTCCAGAGTGCTGGATCGCAGGCGTGTAGCACCTCAGTCGTCCTGCTTGTCCTCTGGATGTCTGGGTCCTCGGGTGAACACGGGGCAGCCTCCCCTGCGAGCACCCGGAGGCCGTGTCCTGGCTGTAATAAGCAGCTAGCCCCGTAATGCAAACGGGTTCCCCTCTGTTGGGTTTCTGGTTGCTCCCACAGCCCTGGGATCCATATTCCTGTTGTGTCTAGGCAGGTAAATGACATGAGAGATGAGGCTCCCAACTGGCCCTACGGGGATTCTGGTAGCACCTTTGGAGGAATGAAGGTCAAGGTTGTGCCTGCACCTCCCTTACTCTTTGTTTACCTCTACCTGTTAGTGTACTCACCTAAGGAAACCACAGCCTGAGTTCCAGCATCACAGTATGGCCTGCTTTTCTACTTTATATAGGTAAAGCCATATAGTAGATATTCTTGGCTTTGGCTTCTTTCGATGAATGAATGCTGTGTTTAAAGTATTGTATGGATGATAGATTGCTGCATAGTATTATCTAAACGTATCCTAATTCATCACGCCTTCTCTCGTTGAAGGAGGTTTGGATTGTTTCTCATTTGTGGCCCACTGCCTTTCCAGCACGGTTTTACCAGCTTACACTCTTTCTGCTGGAGTTGGAGAATGCCCGTTGCGTTCAGTCCTTGGCAGCCCTGAGTGTCCTCTGCGTGCTTACCGTTCCGGGAGCGCTGAAGTGCAGACGCTCTAGAGTTTGCCTGATGGCCCCTCTCTCTCAGGGCCAGGTGTGCCTGCTCCAGGGTCCTGCAGGTGGGCCGTGTCTCTGCTGACAGGCTTGCGGCTCACCTGCACACCTCTGCGGCTGCCTTCCGAAAGTCTTGCTCCTCCCGTGTCCATTGTCGGGCAGGGGCAGGTCTCTTCTTCCTTCTGTGAGGATCCGGAGCCCCACACCCTGCGGGAAAAGTGGTCTGTCCTTGCTGTATTGCATCTTCCCTTCTTCAGTAAGGCCCTGTGTAAGCAGGCTGATTTCTCTGGATTCTCCTTTCACTGATTTATCTGTGGCTCTTCAGGTTTGTTAGAAAGATGGCTTCTTTTCTTTTAGAACGTTAGCTGTGCCAAACTGTGCTGCCTCAGATTAAATTGGAAAACTGGGAACTCGCCCTGTGGCCATTGGGGTTCTTTTTGTTTTGTTTTGATGTTGTAACTGACTGCCTGACAGAACCTGTCTGCTTCTGCTCAGTCTCTAGGACCTTCACTTGCTTGTCACTTGTACTTTGTCCAGATTTTTTATCTGATGGATTTGTTGTGACCATAGTTTTCCAGTATGTTTGCTCCTGTCTATACTAGAAGCAGTTCTTACTGTCTTCTTTGTGAGTAGTGATTTCTCCCTTTACTTTTAATTGCTGATATTGGTAATGTGTGCTTTTCTTTTTCATTGTTTGTTTTGCTAGGGATTTTTCCATTTTCTTTTTTTTTTTTTTTTTTTTTTT